AATAAATAAATAAATAAATACCTAAAAGATTTATCAATTTTATATTATTTTATTTTGGTGGGTAGAAATTATTTTTAAAATTTTAAAAATATTTTTTTGACATTTATTTTTATCAAATTAGTTTATATTTTATCAAATTGATAACTTTACCCTTAAAATTAAGCAATGATATCTTCAATTGTCCTTATTTAAAATAATATTCAAGATTCAAAATTTATGATCATATATGTCACAAATAAAAAGTCAGAGATTAAAGTAACACGAACCGTAAACGACAAAAATTGTTAATATAATTTGTCTTAAAAATTTTAAGAGCTCTAATATTTTTCATTATTAATTGATCCAAAGGCACACAAACTTCCATATTTTCTCATATCTTTTAATTATTCAATACAAAATTCTAAATCCATCTCATTACCCATTAAAACACATGTGAAGAATCATGTATCTCGGACCAACCAATAACTTCTCACTGTTGTCCCCATCGTGAGTGTCGCCATCTAGTTGTTAATTCCCAACAGTGGTTCGGTGAGCCGTCACACCGGCTTGGTTTGCAAGCTTGAGCCACGAAACTTTAGCCGAATTGTTTTTTATATTTTTTAATTTTTGAACCAAATTGACCAATTCGTTGACTCCATTGTCAAGAATTGATTTTAAAAACAATTACAAAATAAATTAAAAAAATCAGGAAATAATTGCTCCAAAAGAATGAGGATTTAAAAGTAAATATACTACATATAAAATGATGTAAAATAATTATAAATGGTAGGAAGAATCTATCAAATTATCAAATTATATATATATATTTGAGGGACATATATTTTATTGGCCCCTATTCAGTTTTCAAGATAGTTTTCAATGCCAGAATATTATTTGTGGAGCTATTCTACATATTCATATGTCACTTTTCATACTAAATTTAATAAAATATTATTTACTTTAACTAAATAAATATAAAATAAGTGATAAAAATGTAAGATAATTAAAAAATCCTTTAAGTGCCTTTGTTTTTATTGGCTATTGATATATTTTGATGCATTGCAACTTGTAAATTAAAATATAAATATAAATTTGATGCATTGCAACTTGTAAATTAAAATATAAATATAAATATCATTAGAAATATACATAATATTTGGCCCTTCTATCTTAAAATCCTAACTTTATCCCTGACAATCATTTTATTAAACTTATATCAAATTTATGATAAATTATGTTTTTTAAAATTAATAATTAACCAAATCTTTACTAGATTCAACCATTATATTTTTACTCAATTCTAATTAAATTTAAAATTAATAATAATTTAAGATTTTTTTATATCCAATTTATCAAAAGAGGTATTTGGGATACATTTAGTTATGATGAAAATAATGTACCAATACCATTACATTTTCGTAGTGATTTTTGTTTAATTATAACTGTCGTTGCTATTTTAATCATGAACGTAAGTGATATTTAATATCGGATTTGATATATCATTTAAAATAACACAATTAAAACCATTAGCGTAATAAAATGAGTGCATTATAGGCTTATAGCCGTTGTCATTTTATCCATTAATTTAAAATTATTATATTTTATTTCTTAATTTTTAATAGGTAAATTAGTTTTTATAATTTAAGCAAAATCTTAATTTTAATTTTTATAGTATCAATTTAACCAATTTAAAATATTATACTTTTAGTTTGATTGCAATGATATTTATTTGTTATTAATATTTTGAATAGAAAAATACCTCTTACAAAACTAGAGAACCAAAAGTGAAATTTAAAATAATAATAAAAAAAAAACAATTGATGTAATTTATTCATTATATTGGCGGTTCCTATTATTTCTTTTCAATTCATTTTGATTTTCCTAATTTTTTATATACCATTTTAGAAAAATTACTCATAAATCCCATATGAGAAAATGTTGCTCTATTTAGCCCTATGTGTTTTTTATTAAATTAATTAGTCCTTTTTATTTTTGATATGTTGTATTTGTTTGATTTATTGAGTTTAGAGTTTACTTATTTGCCCTCATATGTGATTTTATTTTGATTTTTCCTTAGTGTGTGTGGGTATGATAATGTTATATTACTAGTTTTTTTTAGGAGGGGATTGTGTGGACTATTTTGGTAGTTTTTGATATTTCCTAGTTGATATTTTATTTTCTAATGTGGATTCGGCGTGTATTGATTTAGGATTGTACGTGCGTGTTTGGGTGGTACTGCTTGATTATGGGTTTATGCAATTGACATGTTGTGTGGCTTCTTTCAACACAACCAACTCAATCGCGTGTTTGGGTGGTACTGCTTGATTATGGGTTTATGCAATTGACATGTTGTGTGGCTTCTTTCAACACAACCAACTCAATCATCACGCAAACAAACAACGTCAAAAATTACTTCATACACCTTACAAATATGTTCGTCAAAAAAACTTTACAAAAAATCACTTTCAATTTCAAAACCATAAACTCTAACACCCAAAAACATACCCTCACGGGCAAAGTCCCTCACCCACATTAACACACAAACAACAAGACCAACACAAACAACCCAATCATAACAAACACTGTTGCAACTACCCCAAGTGCAAATGGTTCCCAATGGATTTCTCAAAATAACACACCCAAATAGATTATCACAATTAACACCACATAATAAGAGCCACTATTTGACTCTACCCTCAATATAACTGGATGCCTACCATGTCATTACAATAACGTACAATCTAACATTACAAAGTAACATGCAATGTACAATCTAATATTGCAACAATGCATAATCGCATCGAAACAGGTTTCGGAATATAATGTCACACATACAATTTCACCATCCTGTAACAAAAAAACAAAAACAATCAAAATACATACTTATTACTGTAGGTGCCAGCAATAATCTCCGGCACCGACAATGTTTAGTTGTGGTTTTCACTGTCAACTAGTGGACAAAAATGGCGAAACGACACAACATCACAACGACTGTAATATATTGCTAGAAGGGGGTTTTCAACAATCTAGGATTTTTTTTTTTTTGAGGGGGGGAGGGGAATGGAATGCTAATTTGAGAAGAACGTTAACATTACCAAATTAAACAATATTCAAAGAAATTGAATGTCTATCATCGTTGTAACATCGGAATCAAAATCGAGAACTTTCCATCTTCACTGTTTTTGTTTTGATCGCGTAGTAGAAAAAGCAAAAAACACTACATTATACTTTTGGCCATTTTGGTAAATTTAACATCATGTAAAACCCATATTTACCCTCACAATTTTCTATTCAAGCGTTGAAATCATGGGCTCAAAGGTTTTTAACATTAAAATGGGACTGATCGGTCCACCAAAAAAAAAAAAAAACAAGACTAAATAGCTCGACATTCATTGATTTGAGATTTAGGGTTATTTTGGAAAGATGGTTATAATCAATTTTTTGGTAAAAAATCACTTATAAGCTGCTTATAAGTTGCTTTTTTGTGAGAGATGAAGTGGGTTATAATATGGGAAGTTGATTATAACCCACTTCCCAAAAGGGGCCTTAATAGTGCTTTATCTTAGTCTTTTTACGCTAAAAATTTTAACAAGTGATATATGGATTACATTGCAACAAATTAAAATATATAGTTCAAATTATTCAAATTAAAACTATAAGAATTGAAGAAAAATTTTACTCAAATTAAAAGGATTAATTATGTAATTTATATTTCTTTTTTTATTAATTATTTAAATTTAAACCTTGTAGTAATATACTGTGACGGAAAGGAAACGAAAAAGTATTTACCTAGTTGTACATGTAACGTCCAATCAAAAAAAAGTTAAACATGTTAATTTATGGGAATACACTTTTTTTTAAAAAGGTTTATCATATGTATTTTTAGTTATGTCATTTTTTTTCTTTAATTATGACATTATTTTAGTTATAATTCATGGATTATATAATTATGCTTTATTTTGTGTTTAATTATGATATATTTTTTTCTTTTTTAATTATGTCTTAAAAAATTAAAATTATGTCATTTTTTTTAATTATAATGTGCAATGGAGTGTGTATCATAATGTTTCCCTAATTTATAGTGCTATTCAAGCCCAGATATTAGACCTATTTTTAATCACATAAGTAAGACAAAATTAATAAATAAGAGAAAAATTATTCTCTCTATACAAGTAAGATAGATCTTCAGTTAGTAAGTTTTTTTATTATCTGTGTGTATGCAAAGTTAGGCGTCAAAATATTAAACCGACATGATTTAGCTCATTCTGTAAACAACTTTTATGCTTAACATAGTTGTTGATTTTGTGTGTATTCTAAAAAATAAAAAATAAATAAAAATTAAAAATTAATATGTACATATAATTTTTTTAAACAACAATGCATATATATGTCTCACATATATAAACAAATTAGTCATTAAATGAACTTTTTATCATACATACATATATAAACAAATTAGTTATTAAATGCACCTTTTATCATAAAATTAGCACATATAATTCACATTTTATTTTATTTTTAGTAACAATATGTTAAGAGAATATTGAGATTGAAACAAATCAAGACTTCAAATAATAAAATGTAAAAATTTTAAAATCTTAATAACAAAGCGTTCTAAGAATTAAAAAAAAAAAAAAAAACAAAAAATTATACTTAATTCAAAACATTTTATTTAGGAAAATTTACCCATAAGTCTTAGTTTCTGAAAAGTTGAACCATTTAGTCCTAAAAGTTTTCTTATGCTCCATTTAGTCCCATTTGCACATCAATCTAATGTTCGAAACATTAATCTGATGTTCGAAATCTAATGTTCAAAACATTAATTTGATGTTCGAAATCTAATGTTCGAAACATTAATCTGATGTTTGAAACATTGTAATGGGACCTTTCAGTCTATAAGAAAACTTTTAGGACTAAACAGTGTATAAGTTATTAATTTGGGATTTATTGGTGCATTATTTTCAATATATATATATATATATTTAATTCGAATATGAACAATGCTGTTAACATTGAAGCAATTGCCATGCTTTTAATGGAGTAGGGTAAAGTCACATTGAACACTGCTCCTACTCTCTCTCTCTCTCTCTCTCTCTCTCTCTCTCCACCGCTTGGAGGAATCGGACTGAGTTCGCCGGAAGTCTCAGAGCTCAGAACCTTTTCTGGCGAAGATTTGCCGGCGATGTGTAAGCTTCGGTTACTGGTGTGCCTTCTACTTCTTTGCTCGGCAGCTTTGCCTGCTGCTCGAGGATCTACCAACACAACCGGAACCAGTTTTTGGAAGACCTTAAATGGTATATCTCTCTCTCTCTCTCTCTCTCTCTCTCTCTCTCTCTCTCTCTCTTCCTTTTGTTGATTTCGGATTTTGGTGCCTGTTTGCGCTCTGTTTGGTTGCTGAGAAACTGAGGGGGGAAGGAAAGGGAAAAAGAGAGAGAGAGAGGGTAAATTATACTTTGATTTCCTGGAATTTACACTGAATCACAGTTTGTTTCCTCATTTTTCAATTGTTACATGCAATCGCTTCCACTTTTAGTGAAGTTCAAATGTAGGCGTTCTGTTCTGTTAGTCTGGTATTAAATTTGTTAACAGAAATTAGGATAAATTCATTTTTAGTGCCTCATTGTTGTGTGACAACAATCAACAGTTTTAGTGAATTATGTGTGGATTGAAATATGTCAATGAGCTGTGTGCCATAACAAACTGCTGCCATGGGTGGCAATTGAAGAGGACAGCTCCTCTCTCCGGTTTGTAAATTCGATTATCCAAGACATTCACATTTTAAGGTTCGTCCAGTAAATTTTATGCAAAAATTTAGTTGATCGTGAGTTTTGCATGCAGAAAATGGATGATGAGTATGATTTTAAGTATGCGTTTGGATTCATGGCCAACTTGAGAGAGCAGTTGGGCTTAGTGGGTCTGTTTTGGGGCCGACCTCAATAATTTAAACCGTTTACTTTTTATGACACGTTGAATAAAATATTTAGGTGAAAAACCATGATGATATCGGGCATTGATAACTATATATTTGAATCACATTTGTCTTTAAAAAATGAGTGCCAAAATAATTTCAAGCACAGCCATCTATTTTTTATAATACAAATGTGATTCAAATATATAGCTATTGATATTCAATTATTTTAATTTTTTGTATAAATATTCTATTCAACGAATCTTAAAAGGTAAACGGTTCGTAATACCAAAGTTGGCCTCAAAATGGACCTACCAAACCTAAACTGTTTTCTCAAGTTGGATGGCCAACTTGAGAGAATCCAAACCTTTAAGTATAACCGTTCATTTTTTTAATACAAAACTAATCCAAACATGTGGTTACTATTATCTGATTAACTTGATTTTTTACATGAATGATAGGTCAAAAATATATGTACACCAGCTTGGCTTTGAAAATGTGATGGGACCATCTTGCTAGTGCCCCAAAATACGTCTTAACTAAAATTAAATGTTTGTTGGACGATTTGTCGCACTGCTTCATTTAATTCCACTTGAACAACATTTTCATTAATTAATTTTGTCATCACAGTGATCATTTTTATTAAATTATGAATGATAAAAAATTGTTTGTGCTATCCGATTAGGAAAAAGATTTTTTTGAATCATCCGTTCCACATACTCATTAACACAATCCACAAACTTATTTATTGGTGTCCTTTCGCAGGAAATGCGCCTTTAGTCATAGCACGTGGTGGCTTTTCAGGGCTATTTGCTGATTCCAGTACAGTTGCATACCAGCTGGCCGGAATGGTTAGTTTACCCAATGTGATCTACTGGTGCGATGTACAACTGACAAAAGATGGAGCTGGCATTTGCAGTCCTGATCTCACGCTTGAGAATAATTCTAACATTGAATCTGTTTTCAAAAATAAGTATAATACCTACTCCGTTAATGGGGTATCTATGCAAGGATGGTTTTCTGTGGATTTCACCCTCAGTGACCTGGCAAATGTCATTTGTAAGTTTACATGTTTGATAGTCTTCTGTGGCAAATATGTTTTTGACCTGACATTCTTTTCTGCTGTGTGATTGTATTGGTGTACATATGGGGTGTAAGCATAATTCTTAATTGTTTGTGTAAAAATCGACATAATGGGACCTCACTCCAACTTTGTCCCATCGGAGTTGAAGTTTACCCAATCCCTATCTGGAACCTACGATGGGTTCTCCAACACCACCGTACACACACAACTTGTTTGGCCCCGTCAAACTTTAGGAAAGACTACAAACATATCAAGTAAAGGATGTCGGGTGTGGCTAAAGTTTTTAAAGGCAAATGCATAACTCGAGACGTTTTACCCCTCATGAGGCAAGGTGTAAGCATTTCGAATTTTAAAATTTTATATTTAGTAAATAAATTAAATATTTTAAAATAGTGAAAAGCAAATAAAAATTTAAGTGAAAGGTATAAATACTTATCTCCTTAAGGCATCAAACATTTCACTGCAAAGAATGAAGCTTGCCTTCATTGAAAGTGAAATTGACGTTCTTAGTTTTAGTGATTGAGCTTCTCACTTGAGCATTAACTTGTATTTTTTGTTCATTGTTCATTTACTTAATTTTTTTTTCTATAGAATATAGTCACAAAAGGGGTTCTTTTTTTATTTTTGGCTTTTTGATGTTTAAACTATCTACTAGACAAGTTTAACAAGAGTCTACGGCAATCTCTTCATATGCGTACGTGTCATAGGCTTATGTGCAAAACGCATACGAGGTGCACCTAAGGCGCATGCCTCAGATTGTGATGCGCAAGCCTTTAGAGAGTATAGCCTAAAAATCAAAGCCTTGATGGGTTTTACCTTAGCCTCAAGGCACGGCGAGCATCAAGGCGAGCCTCAGTAAAGCCTTTGAAAACTTTGGGTGTGTCAAATAGTTGACCTTGCAGACTTGTCCATGATACATGCAACACACATATAGGTAAAAATAGATTTCTATATAAAGAGAATAGGAATGTGTATATATATTGTGGGAAGTAAATAGCAAGAAACTAATATTGCAATGACAATGACAACTTGATGAGCCAGAAGTCCACACCAGAACAGGCAGCAACTAACATGTAGGCTGTGTGGTGGGGCAATTCATTCTGAAACCAGTACTGCTCTGAACTTGTGATGGGTTTAATTCTCTACCCCCATACCTGTCCCTGCCCAGATTGCAGCCTCCCAAACTGGACTCTTTAGGGGAAGGTTACCCCAATTTCTGGTTAATTGCCATCCTCAGATGTGAAGTTGTAGTAAATGGTAATCGAGGAGAGTTCAGCAAGCCTACTTCTTAAGTCTGGTGAACTTTGTTATCTGTTTTTAGGTTTGATGTTTTTCTCTGGCAACACCAACACTTCCTTTTTTGCTCTGGACAGTAACTCAGGGAATTTATTCTCGACCCGATAAATTAGATGGTAGTCTGTTCCCATTCCTTACTGTTCAAGATGTGGCAAAGCAATTGAACCCACCCGGATTATGGTTGAATATTCAGGTAAACCTTGAGTGGCAAGTGTTCTATTACTTGAAATTGGTGTTTCCTTTGAATATATATATATGTATATATATTCTTTTTAAATTGTGTATGTTCCAGCATCACAACTGGCACTTGAACTGACCTTATTTTTGTTCTAATACTTCTGCAGCATGATGCATTCTTCAGCCAGCAAAGCTTCAGCATGAGAAGCTTTGTACTTTCTGTATTTAAAAGTGCTATAGTTAATTATATCTCTTCTCCGGAGGTGGACTTCCTAAGGAGTATATTGTCTCGCAGACCAAGCACAACAAAACTCATTTTCCGGTTTCTGGGGCAAGATGAAGTTGAGCCTTCTATTAACCAAACTTATGGTTTTCTATTAAGTAATTTGACATTTATCAAGACATTTGCTTCCGGAATTCTTGTTCCCAAGTCTTATATATGGCCTGTAGATAATCTATATTTACAGCCTCATACCTCAGTTGTTTTGGATGCTCATAAAGAAGGTCTAGAAGTTTTTGCGTCAGATTTTGCAAATGACGTACCTTTTGCCTACAATTTCAGTTATAACCCTGTAGCTGAGTATCTATCTTTTATTGACAATGGAAACTTCTCTGTGGATGGTGTGCTTTCTGACTTCCCAATAACTCCATCAGCGGCCATAGGTATGTAGCTCACTCGTATCATTTTATAGGTCTCGGTCAATAGAATGTAAATCAGTGCTGATTGAGAAACTGTTTTTGTATACAAGTCTACATGTGTTAAATAATTCACATTGGCCAACCCCTTTATTTAAAGAGATAAAAATCAAATATTTATTTGAAGACATGTAGCTCAATTTGATTAGAGGAAATATTTATTTCCTTTTCCTATAGGTCCCATGTGCTAAAGTGGCTTATTTTAATTAGCCCGCTTATTATCTTTAAAACTGCATCATTTTGACACATGTGATTCAGCCATTGTGTAACCGTGAATTGAAACTATTAGACACATGGCGATATTTTACTTGCCAATGAGTAGTTGTTCCCTGGGTGTATGCTAGATTTCATTTGTCAAAGTTTCTTTATGAAAGTTTTTGACCATTTCTACATAAATACTTAAATTTACTACTAGATTCATACTAATTGCTTAATCTCATAATCATTTCTTCAGATGTTAATTTTTCCTCTCTTTTCTATTATTGCAGCTTGTTTCTCTCACAGAGGCAGAAATGTGTCAGGACCAGAGTTTTAAAAGGCTTTCTTGAGGCTCGCCTCAATGCTCGCCTCGCCTTGAGGCTAAGGTAAAACGCATCAAGGCTTTGATTTTTAGGCATTACTCCCCAAAGACTTGCGCATCATAGTTTGAGACATGCGCCTTAAGTGCGTTTTTTACGCTTTTTGCGCATAAGCATGTGAGGAGTATGCACATGCAGGAGTTGCCTTGGGCATTTGTTAAACTTAGTCTATTAGATTGTTTAGACATAAAAAATTAAAAAGAATCCATTTTTACAACTATATTCTACAGAAAAAATTAAGTAAATGATCAATCAAGAAAAACACAGTTAATGGTCAAGCGAGAAGCTCAATCACTAAAGTTAAGAATATCGATTTCTCTTTCAGTGAAGGAAAACTTCCTTCTATGTAGTAAAATGTTCAACGCATTAAAGCGAAAAGTATTTACATATTTATATTTAATTTTGTTTTTATTTTTTTAACTATTTAAAAATATTTAATTTATTCAGTAAATATTAAAATTTGAAATTTGAAATTTGAAATGCTTACGCCTCGCCTCATGAGAGGTAAAACGCCTTAAAGTACGCATTCGCCTTTAAAAACTTTGGTCAGGACAAGGTATGCTACTATTATGTAGTGCTTCTTCCTTGCGACAGATTTTGTTCTTCTTGTTTTGCTTGTGGGTGGTATTAATGTCTGTGTAGTTTCTTTCTTGTGTATCTTTCAATGTACCATTATGAATTATTGGTTAAATAATTTGTTTTGCCCTGCCCATGGTTCAGAAAAGCCTTTGGTTATCTCATCAAAAGGATCGAGTGGGGACTACACTGGTTGTACTGATTTGGCATATCAACGTGCCATTTCAGATGGTGTAGATGTTCTTGACTGTCCTGTTCAAATGACGAAGGATGAGATACCGGTTTGCTTAGGCTCTATTAATCTTATAGATTACACAAAAGTTGCTCAATCAAGTTTTAGCAACCTTACGACAACTATTTCAGAACTTGGAGTAGTCAATGGGATATTTCCCTTCAGCCTCACATGGAGCCAGATTCAGAGTTTGACTCGTAAGTTGAAAGCTGCACATACTTTCTTGTTATTTTTGTGTTCTCCTTCCCTTCTTTCTGGAAAATTATTTAACATGAGCACAAGTGGTTGCCTATGTTTATTTATTGTGCATAATAATTATATGGTATATTTATAATTTGTCTTTGTTTTTTTCACTGCAGCGGCAATATCGAACCCGTTTATAGCTTCCCAATTGTACCGGAATCCAAAATTCAAAACGCTGGAAAATTTATGACGCTGTTTGAGTTTCTGGCCCTTGCAAATAATGCCAGTTCTGTTTCTGGTGTTCTGATCAGCATAGAGGTGAGTATATGTCAAATCATAACACGTTTCTCATATTTTTTTAAGAATATTTTTGGAATTCTGCTATTAACAAGTGTATAAATGTGTTACATGTGGAAAACACATTTTCTCTCTGCATTGGCTTGCACTAGTTAGCCTTATCCATATTTAGACGATCTGATTAAGGAGGAGAAGGAGGTGTTTACATCCAGTAAGCTGTAGGTTAAGGGACCTATATATGGGCATGGCTTGAGATGAAACACGTGGCCAATATATAGCTTGAAAAAAAAAAAAAAACAAGTAACATGCCCACAAGGAATTCCCATAAACAAATTACTCTAAAATAGGAAACCTACTTTAGTTGGAATTTCATACACTTCCAACAAAGACACTCCCCTGCTTTACTTGTCTGGCTCCATCTTCCTCATTCCCTATATCTTGGGGGTTGATTGGGAATCTCCCAATTGATGGGTGTACATCAATTTTTAAAGCCTAACATAGAACATTGTTAGGTTTTTATTCTTGGCAACCCCGTTTGACAAAACTCCTTTCAGATGTATTTATTTTCGCACTTTTATTTCAGTGAGACTATGGGTTTATTAGACGCGAATCCAAACCCGAATCGAACCATGCAGAGAAGTTTGAGATGTTAATGCTTTCAAGATTGCCACTTCGCTGATTATTACGTGGGTCGAGCTGCCCGGTCAGCTCGCGGCTGAAGCAAAATGCAAAATTGCATTCAAAATTGCATGTTCGTCGTTGCTCGCTCAAGCCAAGGAATTCTCGCTCGAGCTAGGGCTTGCTCGCTCGAGCCAAGGAATGCGCGCTCGAGCCAAGGATTGCGTCCATACAAAAACCTGAAAGAATGTATTCCTCGCTCGAGCCAAGGATCCGTCGCTCGAGCCAAGGCACTAGTAGAAATCATGAAAAATACACTGCTCGCTCGAGCCAGAAAAGCTTCGCTCGAGCGAACCTCAGAATCCGGATTTCTCAAGAAGTTTGTTTTCTTCCCAATCTAGGATTACTTTTGGTTCTCTATAAATACTTGGTTTTCTCCCAAAACTACGTGAATTGATTGAAGTCCTCCAGATCTTCTTTTTGGTTCTTAAGGTTTATATCTGGGGATATTTTGTTTATTTTTCTTTGATGTTTTTTACTGAGTCTTCAACTCCACTAGTTTTTGATTAAAATTCAGTTTCTGATTAAAATTCCCTAAAACTCAATCTACATGTAAATCACAAATTAGTGTTACAAATAAAACTCATAAATAGAATAAA